GAGCCGCGAATAAACCTTCCTGCGCGGCCCCAGGGGTAAGGAGCGTGAGCCCTACCTTCGCGTCTGGCTCCCTGAGGAAATCCCGCAGGTTTCCGCGGAGGAGATCCCGCACCTCCGAGTGTCTGTTCAAACAGAGGCTTAGCCAAACTCCTGGCGAGAGCTCCCTCCCCTCCCTGGGAGGGTGCCGGAACCCTTGAATGGCAGATCTGGTGGCCCTATTGTGGAAAAGAGAGGGCTATTGCCAGGGCGGCGTCAGCAGCACGCCGGGAGCCGGCGGCCGAGTCCCGCCGGGCAGCCAGCCCCGCAGCTCCGGGAGGGAAGGGTCGGCTGTGCCGCCCCGCTCCTCGAAGCTCGCCTTGCCTCCCCGCCCTCCTGGCTCGCTTGCCGGCTTCTGCTCCCTGATGCCAGCTTAGGTCCCGTCCCTCCTTCCCCTCTTCCCCACTCGCGCCTCCCTCTCGCTCACTTCTCCCCTTTATACTCCCTTGTTGCCCCCCGCGGGGATCAGGGCAGCAGCATCTCCCCACCCCGGCGGAGAGAGGTACAGGGGGAGCCCGCGCACAACCCGCCCGCGCCCTTATCCGCGGGGAAGGAGCCGAGAGCCGAGACCAAAGCTGCGGGGATAGGGAAGGGGAGGCAGGACCGAATGGCCACCGCAGCGCGGGATGCCCTTCTCAAAATTCTCTGCTCCCCTGGCTCGCGAGGGGCAGCGACCGCAGTCCCCTCTCGGCAGAGCGGTTCCTGCGGAGATGCTCAGCCGGGCAGCCCACATCCTGGTGCGGGGGCACGGTATCGGCCCATGCGGAGAGCCCCGCAAGAGTCCCAAGAAGAGCACACGGACCCCGTAACCCCGTTCCGCCCAGGGTGCGGGGCTGCTGCGGGAGCCGGGGCAGGGGGCAGGTGCCGCAGAGCCCTTGAACGTCGGCGGGGGCTCCGCGCGGCGCCGCGGGGAGCCCCGAGCGCCTGGCAGCGAGCGGTCCCTCGCGGGAGGCGGAGAGGGACCGCCAGCGAGCTCGTTCCTGCCGTGCCTGCAGCTTACATTACATCAGGAGAGGAGGAGGAGAAATGCATTAAAAGTGTCAATTTAAGAGCATGCAGCGAGCCTCCGACTCCTACACCAGTGGCTTTCTGCACTTCTAACAATAAAAGTGCACTTATGACTGAACTTTTTATTTGCTCGCTAAATAAAAGAAACGGTTCTTATTTGCATAACGCGGCACTTAAAGAATTTCCTCTGTTAGAGAAAGCCCGTTTCCTTTCTCCTGTGTCCTTTTAGCAAATATCCCCATCACATTCGCCTTCACTCCACAAAGGATTTTATTCCAGCCCGTATTTCTAGACAGCAATATACGTATACATTTCTGTGTGTATATGGGTATGTGCACACATATGTTTCAAGACATATGACTTACTTCAGCTCCACGCAATAGAAATAGCAAGTCAGATTACTACAGCACATAAATCATTCGAAAGCTTTTTTCCCTCATAAGCCAAGATATATAACCTGTTCTGAGGACTAGATGGTCTTGAAGGTCTCTTCCAACATTGGTAATTGTATGATTCTGTGGCTTTTCTTTAAGAATTCGGCTTTAATTACCCGTGCCGGTTTGCGGAATAACCCGTACCCCTATTCGCGGCAGGGAACGCGAGGGAAGCCGTGCAAGGCCGCCGGCCCGCCGCAGCGCACAGGCAGGGGGGCTTCTGGCAGGGGCGTGAGGAGCCCTGCCTGGTGCCCCACAGGGCCAGGCCGGCAGCAGCCCCTGCGAGAGGGCCGCGGAGAGCCCGGCCGAGAGCCAGGGCCGCCCGGTGCCACCGTCCCTGCCAGCAGCTGGGTTGGAAGCGCTCCGACGATTGCCGTCCGTGTCCTTCGTGTATTTACGGACGCAGCTCGTCCTTTGCCTATATTTATCCGTACAATGCAGTGGAAGGGCTTAGATCTAGAAATAGAAGGCGAGAGCAATAGATGGCAGGCTCGGGCTTTTTATAACTCAAAAAGACTCGTTGATTGAAGAAATAAAATTAAATTAAACAACAACAACAACAAGGAGTGGACACCCTGTCTGGCCGGCTCGGAAGGTGCGTGCCATGCCCACCGTAGCCCGCTGGCCCACCCCCGCCTCAGTGCCCGGCCGCTCCGCTCCGGGCTCGCCCGGGACCTCTACCAGCGCCGACGGGAAAGGCATAGGCGAGAGTTGCGGGCCCACACTGCGGAGTGCAGCGCCCTCCGGGAATGCGGAGACCGGCCCGGGGCACGGGCCTGCCGCAGCGCCGGGAGTGGGGAAAGCCGGCCGTCTGAGCATCGCCCTGCGGGAGAGCCTGCCTGTTGGTCAGCTTCGGATTGCATTTTGTTTGTTTAGGGGTTTTTTTCTCTTCTTTTGGGATTTGGTTGTTTTTCAAATTGAGGGATTTACGGTCACGGCATGCCACCACTCCAGCATCCTGCTTAGGCCCGGACAACAGGGAACGCTGGGAGCCAGTAGTCCCCGCCGCAGCCGCCGCGCTCCTTTCCCTCTGCACAACGCGCACGGCAGTACCAGCACCGAAACTGCCGCGGGGTCTCGGCGGAAGGCAGCGGGGCCGCCGTCTGCTCCCCAGCTTCCCGAGCAAACCCCTCCGGTAGCTCTCCTCACCCGCCATGTCCCGCCTGCGCTCCGGCTGGCCACGCTTGTGCCCGCTGCAGACAACGAGGACGGCTTTCTCTTCCCGCGCGCTCACTCACGCCGAGGTTATTTACCCGCACTCGGAGGTTTCCCGGTCCCTTTAGCCCGTCGCGTGATTCCCGGGGCACAGCCCCTATGCCGGGCGCGGTGTGTTTCGCCGTCTGGGAAAAGGCGGAGGGGCGCCTAGGGGTGTTGCAGCCGCTCTGCGAAACCCCGCTCTAGCTGTTATTAGCAAGTCTCTCTCTTCAACCACTAAGCACTATTATTATCACTATTGCTATTAATTATCCTCGCCGAACCATGTGTCTCTCATTACAGCCCACCGTCCCTAGCCACATCACAAGGGGCTCGCAAAGAGCGCGGTCTGGGCCAGTCCGGGCCACTCGCTGCCGCTGCGGGGCTCCCACTGAAGGAGAGCGCGGAGGCCCGCTTGAAAATAAATCAGGGGAACCCCGGCGGTGTTAAGGAGGGTAATAAACTCGTGTGATTCTACCGGGAATTGTAATGTGCATCACAGGCTATGCCGGCGCCCTGAGCTTTGCAACCTACAAAAACAAGAGAGCCGGTTAGCAGAGAGAGGATGGCAGGACGGTAGAGAAGGCACGGGGGCTCCCCTGCACTCCCACTCCTGGAGGAAGCGAAGACCGGGAATCTCTGTCCTGCGCCGCAACCCCGCGGGGTTCCCCGGTCCCATCGTGTCCTTCCCCGTGAAGCCCCACCTGGCCCAAGAAGGCCTTCGCGGATGAGGCCTTGACGTCGGTGGGAACTGTCCGCCAACGAGGAAAGGGCAGGGGAAGAGAGGGAGCGTGGAAGAAGGAAAAAGCTCCAATCATGGCCAGAACAAACGTGAAAGCAGCCCTTAAACAGAGCCCTCATGCCACTGCGCGGTTCAGTGGGGAGATACCCGCGGGAGGAGGGTTGCGGGCAAGGACCAGTGAGGGCCAGGGCAAGGAGCAGAGCGCAGCCGGAGGAAGGGGGACAGGATCGACCCCTGCCCGTCCGAGCGCACCGTAGCTAGGCTGTGCCTGCCCTCCCGAGCACGGCTGTATGGCGAGGACTTACTGCCCTTTCCCAGTGAAGGGAAGTCACCTGTGCGAGGAGGAACTGGGGCTATGGACCTGGATCCGGGGACACCTCAGATGCAAGCAGGGGCCGATGGACGGCGCCTGAACGCGAGCCGGCACGCAGCGGAGATGGATAGAGGCATGGCGCCTCTGCCCCCTTTTAAGTCTAGAGATGGGGGGGAAAAGGTAAATAAAGAGGGAAAAGAGTGCTCAAATGACGGCGAGAGCATAGAAGTGGGATTGCCGGCCTGATCCGGACCTCTCCTGACTACCCTGCGTCCTCACTCCATAGACACCGTCCGTCTTAGGGTCTCCCTGGAAACACGGTCCTATCGCTGTCCCTGTCCGTTGGGGACACGGTGGACTGACTCATCCCAGGATGGGGACCACCTCAGAGGCGACGCGCTCAATCTAGGCCGGGGCAGTCCCTCTTCGCCCACACAGAGATCACGGTGAGGAAGAGGGATTTCATTTCCACTTTCTCTTCATGGGAAAACTGATTAGGGGGATTTATTTGTTTCGTTGTTGAATTTTTGTTTGTTTTTAGGGGGTGTTGTTTGTTTGTTTTCCTTTTTTCCTAACCTCCCAGATACAGCGGAGACCTCCCGAAGAAGGCTTTTAAAGCCACGCTCGGAAACGACACGAGGAGCGCCCCCGTTCCAGGCTGTCCTGTGAGCGCCAGCGCGAGGGAGTGTCTTAATTGCCGCTAATGACCCGCGGAGAAGATGCGAGGGAGTTATCTGCAGCCGGGCAGAAATCAATTAGAGAAGTGGCAATTAGGGGAGAAAGTGAGAAACAGGAGAGACCGTTACAGTGAAAAGTGAAGATTTCGGTGAAGTTTTCCAGAAATTCTTCCTGTGGAAAAGTGTCCCCGCGGAGAGTACACTGCGCAGCCCGGCGCTCCGCTCTTTCTTTCTCTCCCAGTTTCTGCGAAGTTCCCCGCACTGCTCAAGAACTAACGCTTTGCGGGAGCGCAGCGGCTCCGTTCTGAAATTACGATTAAGATCACTGCAAAGCGGGACACTGCGGGAAAGGCGGCTTCCCGCGGGCATCGCAGGCTCCAGACCCGTCTGGGAATGAAGATACTCGTGGGGCACGGCGGCACCCGCTGCGGCGGGAGAGGGCTGCGCGCCGGAGCCGGGCAAGGTCTCCTTGACCCTGGTAGGGTTTGTTCTGCCGGGCAGCCACCCCCCACATCCCCGGGAGGCCCTTTCCGGGCCCGGGAGTATCTCTCCGGTTTCGCCTCCAGTGTTTCCCCCGCCGCACGCCAAGGACTCACCGTAACAGGAGACCTGCAGAGTCCCGTTGTGGCCGCTGCTCTCTTGCAGCTTGATGTTGCTGTCCGGGGGGGTTTTACAGGGGCCTCGCTGCATGTAGAGGTGAGGCGGCTGTTGCTGCGGAGGGTATTTGTTAAAGGAGGCCGGAGCCCCGGCAGAGCCGGCAGCCTGCACACTGCCATCCAGGGACTGACATTCCTGCTGGCTGTAGCGGCTCCGGCACTTAGTGCTGCTGTCACCAAAGCCTTGTCCTTTGCTGGCCAGGAAAGTAGGGCTGAACTTGTCACTTGCTTGAAATGCCCTAAAAGGCGAGGAGCCTTCTGTGTCCTGGGAGGCTGCGTTGTAGTAGGAATCCATGGCAGCCGGATCACAATAAGAAACACAAGTATCAGCATTCATTCCTAAAATTAAAAGGCCCGAGTGTCCTTAATGCGCTTGGAGGGGCACCAGGAACCACTCTTTCTCTCTCCCTCTCGCATAGACACACACTCACAGCTGGGCTGGGGAGCTCTAAGAGAATTCAGATGTTGGTGAAAGCTGACCAGAACTCCAAACCCCCTTAAGATCTCGCACAGTAAAAGGGGTCTTTTTCTTTCCCTCCCTCCCTCCCTCTCTCTCTCTCTCACACACGCTTGCCCTCCGTCTCTCCCTCTAAACTACACTTTAAAGAGGCTCTTCTCCGCACTTTCCCCCCACAATAGGAAAGAAAAAAAAAAAAGAGAGAGACCTCTCCCCCAATTAGTATGTAGATGATGACAGTGGAGGGGAGGGGGCCCAGGAAGGGGTGTGTGTGAGTCTGTGTGTTTATGGGGGTGTGTGGAAGCAGAGGGGGGGTGGAGGTCATATCTTTTGCGTTAAAAAAAAATTAAAAAATAAACCAACTAAACAAAAAAAAAAAAACAGCTCCAAAAGTTTCTATGATTAAAAAACAGAAAATCAAGCGGATGACATGAACGCCACGAAGGAATGGGTGCGGGATCCGCGCCGGCGGAAGCGCCAGGGACGATTTAATGGTCGTGACACGCTCTGTTTGCTCCGGCCCTCTCCCCTGCTCACTGCCCCAGCTGCGGGGACCCTCGCCGCCGCGACCCCCTCCTCTGTATTAAAGGCAATATGAATTTCCCTCGCAGCTATATGCCTTTAAGCCTCCCCCCCACTCCTCATCGCATTAACCCCTTCAGGGACGACAGCTCTCCCAGCGCTGCAGTGAGGCGGTGCCGCAGTCGCACATCGCCGGACGAGCTCTCCATCGCGTCTCGGCGCACGTTTATGATGGTCATGATTTATTTACCTCTAAAAACGTGCTCTCTCCAGGTGTAAAACAACTGCATCCAAACGGGAGGGCAGCAGGGAGGGATTTTAACAGTGTCACCAAGCATACAGAATTGCACCAGACTTCTGGGATTGCCAGAGGTGACTTGCAAAAGGACGGAGGCTGACAGGAACCCTTTTCGGTTTGAGGGGTCAATTGCAAACCAAAAAGGGCTTAAAATAAATCAATACTCACCTTTCGTCGTCCGTCTCCCCCCACCCCCCCGCCATTCAACCTGATTCCCCTCCTCCATCAATTAACTCCTACTACCCCTTCCACTTATTCGTACCCTGCCTTCCTCCCATCCCCACATCTGGTTTCTATTGCTCACTTACCTTGAAGTTTTCAGTAATAAAGATATTACGCAAACTAAATGCGCAGTTCTTCGATCAAGAAGAAAAAAAAAGAAAAGTGAAATAAAAGAAGAGAAAATTAAGTAAATAAAAGAGAAAATAGAAGCGGAAAGGGAAGAAAAGAAGACCCTTAACCCCTTCGGGTGCGCGGGCCGTGACGAAGCCGGCTGCGGGCGGAGAGCGGGGGCACCGTCGGCTGCTCTGGGCTTCCAGCGGGCTCCCCGCGGGGTCCGGCCCATGTGTCCTCCCTTCTCCTGCGCAGCTTCCTCCACCCGTGCAGAGTAGGGGGGACTCGTGGCTTTCATCTGTGTGTGTATCTGTGTGAGTGGGGGGAGCGGGCTGCGGCTCGGGGGAAAGCGGGGCGGCAGAATGGGGATACGACCCCCAAGACGACTGCTCGGGAGGGGCCCGTGGACACCGCCAGCCTCCAGACCTTTGCTCCAAGAGCAAGGCCAGCACCGCCGTATTCATTATCTCAAATGTGACACTAGGCGCCCACCCCTCGCACCAATATGCAGAAGGGATTTCTAGCGACGTAGTCGTTAAAAACAGCCAGAGATGGTTTCATTTACGAGATTTCAAACCATTTTGCAAGTCTCCCTCAGAGCAGCGCTGGGCTCGCTCAGTTTTCTCATCCAAGAAAGCTTTCAGCAGATTTGCCTTCCTTATTCTCTTTATTACCTTACTTAATTCTTTTTTCGTCTTTTCTCTCTCCCTTCCCAAACTCCCCTAACCCACCGCAGCCCCCTCTCTTTCCCTTGTCCGCCACATAATGAAAACCAAACCAACTCAATGCATAAAAGTCTTTCTAAAAACCACTTCGGGGCGGCCAAGGGGGCCGGGGCATTGTCGGTACCGGCAGCTTTCGAGCGGCTCCGCCGAAGGGCAGCTGCTCTGGGTACCGGCAGCACTCCAGCTCCCGCATCCTCGGCTCCGACACATCGGACTCGCAGCCTCTCTCACGGAGGAGGGGCACGTTAAATACTTGTTTTCCAGTTCTTTCCCCCACGATTATTTCGGGGAACGAAAGAAATTCTGTGAGGGCAATTCTCGATGCTACGGCGTTATATTCGGCCTCGGGATTTCTCTTCGGCAAAGTTAAATAACAGCAAGAGCAAAATCTAAAGGCGGAGATATGGGGATCGGGCAGGAGATTATATATATATATACAAATATATAAATACACACACACACATATATATATATATATAATTTTTATTCGGAAGTGTTGCGATGCAGTGGCTCGCAGAGGCAGTGTGGCGTGGCCGAACCGAAGGAGGGCTGCCCAGGATCCCTTCGGTCAGAGCGGTCTGCCAGCCCCTTCTTGCATTAAACTATAACGAAAAGTCCATTAATTCCATATCACGGCTAATCCGCAGCCCTTGGAAAGGACTGCAATAAAACCCTCTCTCTAATGGCCAATTTTCCGTCTCTGGAAGCGGGAGGTTAATTCGGGAATCGTTACCGGGAGAAAGGGTGCGCGCAAATACCTGGCGATCTAGCGGGGGTGGGAGGGAAAAACGGGGTAATCACTTTTCTTGACGGTTTTCGTTTAGCTGGATTGGGTTTTGCGTGCAGTTCTCTCAGCAAGTGTGACAGGGGATTCCCGCAGCCCCCGTTAACCGGGAGCGGAGCCTTGCGAATAGAGAAGCAAACAGGGAGCCTGTAGCCCCCTCCCGTTAAACGAGGCGATGGGGCTCCTTGTCGCGGCGCTGCCGGGACGGCCGTGTCCCTCCGGCCGCGAGGCTCTGCCAGCCCGGTCTCGCCGCACTCCCGCCTGCGGCACCGAGGATCCGCAGAGCAGGGACACAAAGGGACGAGCAACACTTGAGGCACGATATCACCATTTTTTTTTCCGAGTGATCTCAAACCTGCCCTGTCCCTGCATCAAATGCGTCCAAAAGGGAAGGGCTAAAGGGCAGCCGAAAGGTCTGCGCTCCGCAGAAACCCATTGCCAATTCCATGTGTATATATGCTTTATATTGAGACCGTTTTCAGCTACAGTCGCTGTTAGTTTTGGAAGGGGTCACTCCCGAGGGTCCATTCTCACACAGAGCTGCGGGAGCCCATATGAGAGCAAACCGGTCCCGACTGTACGGACGGCAGCTCACACCGAGCGAGTAATAGCTGGGGGAATTGTCGGAAATCTCCAGCGCCGGGCTATCCAGGTGTCGCCTACCGGCGACACCCCAGGGAACAGGGACAGCTCAGGACAGCCCTGCCTGGCTTGTTTTCGAGGAGCCGTTTCCTTTCTGCAGAGGCAAGGGTGGGCGTCGCTCCCGGGTGAGAACCCGGTGCGAGGCGCAGACGATAGCAGGCGGATCCTACATCTCGATCTCTGAAAGAAAAACAAATCTTTATTCCCGTGCGATTTAAACAGTCAGGCTTGTGTCAAGTCCAGGGGAAAGGAAGAGGTTTCTGCACACCGGGCGCGGCAGCGCAGGGCTGCGGGAAGCGGGAGCCGGGAGGGCTTCTGGGACGAGCCCCGCTCTCGCAGGAGGCCGAGGGGAGGAGGCAGGAATGCTCTTCCCCACTTTCCCAGCCACGGCTGAGGAAAACCCTCCGTGTCCCCTCAAGCCTCCACCGTCCTCCCGACACTCCCGGTGGCTGCAGCCGAAGCAGAGACAGGATGGCTGAGGAGAGTCCCGGCAGGACTCTGGGGTGCCGGCTCCAGAACTCCCGGTCCTACTCCCTCTCTCAGAGAGGGAGCCTCGGTTCAGGGAGCGGGGTCATTTCACTGGAGAGGGGAATGGAGAGAGGGGAGATCTTTCACACCGTTTCCTCCCGGCACTTTGGTAGAGCCCTGCTCTTGGAAACTGCCTCGAGTTTGTTTCCCCAAAGGGTTGGTTTGTGTGGTCACTTCAGAGCTGCGAGCTCCTTTTGTACTGAACTGAGATCTGAAGGCGACCTATTTATAACACCGCTGCAAGGGAGGAGAGAGGGAAAAAGTATTCAAAAAGTATTCGCGCTAATCTCACCCCCCCCTTTTTTTTTCCAGCGGGACGAAGATTGCATCTTTATTTCGGGCGTGGAGCTTGCCTAGCGACCATCCCGACAGTACCTGCCGCCTTGCGCTCTTGGCTCCTGCCTCCCGCCGGGCACCGTCTGGGGCCTGAGCAGCGCTTGGCGGGGGCTTTGCTGTCCTGCCTTTTGCGCCTTTCTTCGGGAATAAATGTCGACAAATGTTTGTTGTTACCAAAATACGTTCCTCGTGTCAAGAGGGTGCTTGCAGAGAACTGGAGCTGACCAGCTCTTCTCTTTCCAGGGAAAGCGAAGGAGCAGGCTCCGAGATGGGACAGGCTGGCCCCTACCTCCCCGGGCTTGTGCGGGCAAAGCTTTTCTCTCCACCTCCTCCGAACAGCCTCCTGCTGCCTCTTACCGCCACCTCAGTAAGGAAGCAATGCCTGCTCCACTTCCCGCAGGCTCTCACCCCTCAACCCTTGTGCCTTTCGGCTGTGGACCGGCAGCCGCGCTGCCCGCGGCTCCCCGCGGCCTCGCTCCGCAGCCTGGCCCGCCTTGCTGCTCCGGGGACGGTGTGTTCCGTGCGGATCCACAGGTGTGCATGGCCACCTGTCCGTGTACCTGGATGGTGTCACCAAAGCGGTCACCGAGGGACGGTGGGTGCGGGACCCGAGGGACCCAGGCTGCCCTCCGTTGCAGGTCAGCGGACTGAGCGGCTCATGGTGGGTCCCCGGTGCCCGCTCTGGGTGGAGGGGGGCAGACGGAGGTCTCCC